CAGTCTGCGTCCCTTTTGGTTCTCACCCCCCCTGAGAACTCACTCGCTCACTCATCCATTCATCTCACACCAACCCCAAGTCTCCCCAAATCCCACACTCAACACTCATTATTCTTCCGTCTTTCTTCCTTTCCCTGGAAGGGAACGATCACGAACACGATCATATACCACTGTCACTCTGAGCAGGAGATCTTTAAAGGTTAAAGAGATTTTTTAAGCTTCTCCAAATTAAGGGGAATAGAGAGGCCTCGTCCTTAAACCTCGTGTTCTGACAAATATGCCATTAGCTATATAGAAAGAAAATTCTAAAAGTTGAAAGAAAAAAATACAATAAAACTTCTGCAAAATTAGGGTCCATTTATATGCTGGGATACATAGGAGAAACTCCTATGCATCCTTCAAAACCCTACCTGGGCATGCCCTACTGGAGAAAGCCTTCCCTAAGCCTCCCACATGGGGTTTGTGAATCTCTCAGAGTGACACCCACCCCTTGCGCCACCGTGGGCTGTTGGGCATAGTCCCCTCACTTGTAACTGCCTACTTACTTGTCCATCTAACCCCATGCCTCCTTTCTAGGCTGTATTTTCAGGCCAGGCTGATCCATGGTCTCAGTCCCAACTGGGCTGAAAGCCACTTTTTAACTGCACATGCTTGGGCACCTCATCTCCCTGAGCCTATTTCCTCACCTGCAAAAGTAGGGTGATTCTGTCCTGGCCCAAGGTTACCCTGAGAATTAAATGAGATGCTATTCGTCTCTGAAGTGCCTAGAACAGAGTCTGGCCCTCAACTCACGGCAGTTCTCTCACTTGGCTCCTCAGCTCCTGGGACGTGGGAGCTTAAATTTGCGTAAATTTGTCGAGCTGAAATGAAGTGGTGTGAGCAGCCCGCACTGGCAGGTGTCGTCTGTGACTGGTGGGGGGAGGGGGAGGCCCAGGTCTCTGAGTCGGTCCAGGGAGGCCAATGTGCTCCAAGGCCACGCTCCCCTGCAGATGGGTCAGGAGAGAGCGCCACTCCCAACTCCGGAGAGTCCGGGAGGCTCAGCCCGCCAGAGGCCGCTGGGAGTCACCGGGTGTCAGACGGGGACAGGCACCGCCCACGCCCCTCTGCGCCCGGCCCTGCGCCCAGCAGTCTGCCCGCGGACCCGCTCTGTGGGGTCAGCAACACGTGTGCCCCTTCCCCTGGCAAGGAAACCGAGGCGGAGCGAGCACCCTGCCTGCCTCCCGGACGCTGGGTGACTCCCGAGGGCCTTCCGCTCTGGATTCCAGACGAACGTCCAGGCGACCACGGCGAGACGCCCTCCTCCTTGTGCCCTTCGCCTCTGAGATGGGGTTTCCTGCATGTGATCACACTTTTGCGCCAGCTCAATGCCAGCCTGGGCAGCTTCCGTTGCGTGTGCCGGTGTGGCGCTTCCGGGGGCAGCTCATCTCGGGGACACGCCGCACGGAGCCGCGTGTGAGCTGCCTGCCTCCACGCCGACCGGCCACGCCACGGTTCTCAGTCTGCCGCTCTCGTTTCTGACTCATCTTCCCGCTTCGGCCCGGCTGGGGCCCAGCGACAGCAGCCCCCACGTCTCATCTGCTGCGGGCCGGGAAGGAAGGTGACCGCGTCCGCTACAACGACGTGCAAAGTAAGAGTTCGAAGGGTCTGAGTCAGTCCCCTAGCGTGCCAGGCCAGAAAGCTGACCTTAACGAGAGCCCCCCAGTGTTTCTGCTCTCGGGGTCCCGTGGACCAGACTTTGAGAAACACTGGGAGGTAAAGGTGCAGGAGGGGAGGGCAGGGAAGGTTCTGCGATGGCCCCCGGTTTGAGGGTGCAGGTGCCAGAGGGAAGTTGTCCCAAGTGTGGCCCACGGGAGCGCCGGTGCCTTTCCGGGGCCAAGAGCAAGGCAGTTCCCTTGGAGCTAGATGTGCTATTTGTTCCACTTCGGAAACAAGAAGACGGAGGCTGGAGCTAAACCACCCGCCCAAGGCCCGCGGCTGTAGGTGCAGGAAGCGGCATCCGGCCGGGACGCCCGGCTCCAGGACACCGTGGGCCGCGCTGGGTTCGGGTGACACCGGTGCCGTCGGTTCATGCAGACAGAGCCCTTCCTACACGCCCCACGCACACCCACTGCCTGCCGTCAGGACCCCAGGAGCTAGACCATTTCGCAGACGCGCAAAGGAGGAGCTGAGAAGCCACGGCACGGGCAGGAGGTCGTCACAAGGCTTCCCGGGACCCGCGGTGGAACGCTGGAACCCCAAAGATCAGCCACGCAACACCACAGCCCCCCGGGGGAGGGGCGGCCTCGCCTTGCCCCCCCCCCACCGATCAGTCCCGGTGGTGCTCAGCCCCCACGTGACCTCACCCCCAGGAGACACTGCGCAAGGTTTAAGGACACTTTGGGCTGTCACCATGGTGGGAAGGGGGGGGCACTGGCATCTTGTGGGTAGAGGTCGGGGATGCCCCCCCCATCACGAGGAATCACCTGGCACAAAATGCCAACAGGGTCAAGGTTGAGAAATGCGGAGACGACTCAACGTGGAGCCGCACGGGCACATGCCACACCCCCAGCCCCGGCCCCCCAGGAATCCGAAGAGACCCTTGGATAAAAGAAAGGGTTGGGGGGGAAGAAAGCAAGCCCCTCCCCCACAAATGTACCACAGTCACCATTAACGTCATATTTATTGTAATTTAGCTGCTCAGGAAAACATATACAGGTATGTACAATATGCATGAATACAGAAGACTGCACTTTACATATTTTTTTTTTAAAAAAAGAAAGAAAAAAATAACACTCAATTTCATGAGCTATTGTCACAGTCTTCCAACCAAGCATTTCAGAAATGAATTTCTTTTAAGAGTCAAAAAAGATTACAGGATTGCCTAACACACAGCAGAGTTAAGTCTTCATATTTTACATGTGCAACAACGTTTTCGTTTTCTTTTCCCGAAGAGTTTTGCTACGCGGTACCGACGACCAGTGTCCGGAGTCCCGTGTGTTGGGTGTGTTTTCCATTTGCTTTTATTCTTGCCATTAAACCCAATTTAATGGAATAACATCCTTTTTTGCTTAAGGCTATTTTTAAAGCTGTTCCATTCTGGGGTCTCGGGGAGGGAGAAGGTCTCGAACTCCGGGGCTTCCGCGGCTGCGAGGACGGGGCCGACGGAGACAGTCGGGGACAGGGGCTGAGACCGGTGCTCCCCAGCCTTAAGCAAGCAAGGGGAAACCATCCCTGTTTCCAAAGCAAAGCCGAAGCTCTCAAACAGCGGACCCCGCGGGGTCAGAGGGCCGTGGGGCTTTGCCCCGAGCCCGCCGGCGTCCCGAAGCTGTGCTGGGGAAAGGTCCCTCCCCTGTCGTCCCCTCGGTGGCAGGACACGGGACCCGCGTGTGGGACAGACTCGCGCCACCTGCTGTGTCTGCCCTCCTCTGGACGCCCGGCAGGGACCGCAGGTGGCCCAGACACAGGCCCGGCCAAAGGGCCACCCGAAGGAGAGAGAAGGGAGGGGGAGGCCTATGAGGGTTTTCTGGAAGCTTTGCTGAAAAGTTCTTTGAAACAAACTGTGGGTGTTGCAGGGTGAGCCCAAAGCCTTCAGGTCACTTGCTTAAAAAAAAAAAAAAAAGCCGGATCTGCCATAAACTCTGGGGACCTGGTGGGGGAGGGGGGGCTCCAAATGGAGCATTTTTTAGAAGTCACGACCGTTACCCAAAACTGCAATGAGATGTAGCGGTCGCCAGCGTTGGGGAAGTGACATCAGCCACCTCTCCCCTGTCTGACCCGCCCTGGATCCGCGCCCTGCCCACCTCCACGAGTGGCAAACGCCTTAGGCGGCATCGGGCGCCCCGTCCTGCCTCACCTGCTGGGGGGGGGGGCGCCTTCCGCACACGGGGACCCCGTGGCTCCAGTTACGAGACAGGAGGAGGTTAAATTAAAAAAGCGGGGGGCGGGCTGGGATTCCAGGGTTTAAAAATGAAAGGCCCGGAATCAAGGTCCTTAGTTTCAGTCGCTTTCTCCCTCTGGGGCCCCCAGGAGTCTGCAAAGCTCGCGGGGAAACTCGCCCGGGCACTGCGAGACGGCTTCCGCCAAGCTGGACGGACGGACGGACGGACGGAGGGGAGAGCTGGGGAGGGACACTCAGCCCCTCCCTCTGCCCGGGGACGCGTGGCCAGAGCAGGCGCTGGGGAAAGGCTACGGCTGAGAACCCTCCACCCCACCGCCACGCCCAAGGCACGGCCAGCCCAGCTGCAGCGAGCACAGCAGCGAGAAGCTTCCAGAAACTCTGAAGCCGGAAGAGCGCCCTACCCCAGGCCGACCAGAGGCTGCTCAGCGCAGCGTGAACATGCAGGAGAGCCCGGGCGTCCGTGCAGAGGCCCAGGAAAGGGGAGAAAACCCCGTGGAACATTCCAGCTCCTTCCCCTAGAGCCGGCCGGCTCCTCCTCCAGCCCAGCTTCCAACAGGAGAAGGAAAAACCGGAGCTGGACGGAGCCGAAGGCTGAGCATGTGTTTGGAGGAACGAAAATATATGTCGCTATTTTCTTAGGGAACAGACAAAACAAAATCCCAGGCGGAATACCTAAGGGGGCACTAATTGTTTGGCTCCTGCCTGACTGATGACAGTTGGGTGTCAATACGTAATATCGTGATGACAGTTTGACTTTCACCCGGCAATATTCCAGAACTACTTACTCTCCACGATTTCCATTTTAATAAGCAGTGAACAAAGCAAAAAGAAAAAAAATAAAATAAAAAAAAAAGAAAGGGGGAGGGGGAGAGAAAAGGAAAAAGAATTAAAAAAAAGAAAAAGGAAAGCGACTCTTGCCTTATTATGAAATAACAATACTTGGACATACAGCAGCATGAAGGTAAAATAAGGAAAGAGGTCATCTAAAAAAAATGTATGCCAAGATTACAGAAAAACGGGGGATTATCTAGCAGGAAAAAGGCTTAAGCAAAAGTTTGCTAACTGCAGAAGGATTAACACTGGTAACATACTGTGGCAGACAAGTTTCTTTTTTTTTAAAAAAAAAAAAAAAAAACTTTTGAGGTTTTTTTTTTTTCCTTTCCCCCTGCCCCTTTAAATTAACCCTTTCCGGGCCGTATGCCACTAAGCAGGTACCAACCTAGAAAACCAAAAACCTCATCCACTCAGCGATAGTGGCCCTTCCGGACGACAGGAGGGCGCCGGGGCGGGGAGGGCCTGGCAGGGGAGGGGAGCTCTTGTCATTCAAGTCAGGGCGGCCACGAAGGTCCCGAATCTGTTGGAGATGTCGGAGTGCAGGGACCGCCAGGAGGGCACGGAGGCCCGGGCCTTGGCGTCGCCCACGCCGTCGGTGCAGTGGACGGACAGGCACTGCAGGTGGCTGCCGGGCTGCGCGGCCGGGGCCTTGCTCGCGGGGAGGTCGTGGGCTGCGGAGAGAGAAGAGAGAGGGGACGTTAGCGGCACGAGAGGAGACAGGCGCTGTCCACGCCTCTTTCCACAGCTCGCGCTTCTGTGCGCTTTGAACCCTGCTGCTGTTGCCTCCGACCCAGCCTGAGGCCTCAGCCAAGGGAAGGGACTTTGTTGGGACTCAGTTTCCCCCTTGGGGAAACAGGAGCGTGGGGTAGGATAAACGCAGGGTTTGCCCGTCTCTGATAGACTAGAGTTCCCAGAAGATTAAGTGGGCGTGAGGTAAGTCAGGAAGGCTTCCTGGAGGAGGGGCATCTGAACTGGGCAACAAAGGATGTGTAGGAGTTCGCCAGATGCAGTGAAAGGGTGGAGGGGAGGCTTGTCCAGGTCTGGAACACGGCCCATTCTTGTGTCGCCCTCTGGCCAGACACCTGCTGAGGGACTGTCGTGTGCCGGGAACTTCCTTAAAGAGAGCCAGGCTGCACGCCAACCCCAGGCGTAGGTAAGGGTGGTCACTTCTACTTTCTAGCTAAGAAAGTGAGGCCCAGAGAGGGAAAAGGACTTGCCCGGGTCACAGAGGGGCCAGTGTGGGGTCACACTGCACCATCCCGGGGCGGCAGGCAGGGGGAAGATCCCCACCCCGCCAAGATGCCTTCCCAACACCCCTCGGCCCTCCTGCCTCTGCAGGTCTGCCCTCCCTGGCGTGCGGGGCCGGGACCGACGGGTGGCTTTGGGAGTGGGGGAGTGGGGCGTGGGGGGAGGGAGGGCGCGCTGGCACGCCTGGTCACTATGTCGTTCATTGCCTCCTACCCCGAGGCTCAGCCTCCCTGTGCAGAGGAGCGGTCTGAGCCCCAGAGACGCATGGGAACTTCCCTGGGGTCACACAGCCCCACGCCGACGGCCGAGAGACCCGAGTTCCAGCCCCACAAAGGCACCGAGTCCAGTCCTCCTCCTCCTCCCAACGTGGGAGTGCCCACCAGGCCCACAGACCGTCCTCTTGATGGTCGGCCAGGCTGCTCCCGCATCGCGGCGGCCTGCATGTGAACTGCAAAGTGCTGTCTTCCCAGGGACAGAGGGTGAGTGCTCAGGGCAGTAAAGACTGAGAGGCTGGGCTCCCCGACCAGACCGGCACCCAAGCAGCATTCAGTCACACGGCGCCAGAAAACACCACAAATCACAGCGGCGCCTGTGTTAGATACGCTTGAAGAGAAAGGAGTCTGATAACCGTTCACACTTTAGTATAAATTAGACCGGCAGTGCACAAGAACTGGGTGTTCTAAGGCAGGGGAGGAAAGGAGCTGTCATTCTGGAGGATACCTAATTTGCTGCTGCCAAGTGACCACTGGCTCTGTCCTGAGAGCTACTACATGTCCGTGAATACTCTCACCATCCCGCTCGTCTGCAGTCTGATGCTCGGAGAGAGCAGGTGACGTGCCCAGGGTCACACGGCCAGGAAGACGCAGGGCGCTGGGCCGGCGGTGAATTTCTGCCTCGGTAGGAGTGAGAAAAGCTGAAATTGGGGGCGGGGGCCGCGCCCCAGCTGGAGGACACACCCAGATACTGACCTCTACGACCGGCCCGCCCTGGGCCCCGCGCAGGCCCAGCCAGGCCCCGCGCAGGCAGCCGTCGGCGGCCGCCCTGGCCCTGGAGTCGCAGGGGCCACCCCCGGAGATGAGCCGGGGCCTGCAGGGAAAATCCTCCCAGAGGGACGCGCCCAGGCAGCGGAGGGCAGGCCCCGACTCACCTCCGGGGCCCCGCCCTGGAGCCCCGAGACGCGGGGCTCTGGGACCGCGTGCTGGGAGGGGCCGGAGCGGGGGGGACGTTTCCTCGCCCTGCTCCTTCCGCCGTCCACTCAGCGAGCACCCCCTGCGTGCCAGGCTGGTGCTGGCCCCGCACGTCCGGCCCTGTCCCCTCCTCCTGGAGCTGAGGGTGAGCGAGGAAATAACATCTCTTTTTGACAAAAGCACAGTCACTTTGCAGTCATGGCCCCACCGCCGCACGGCCAGGCTCTGCCACTTTCCCTCTCTGAACCTCAGTTTCCCCACGGGTGAAGTAGGGGTGATGTCATCTCCCTCGGGGCCTCGTCACGGTCTGGGGCACACAGAGGTCCCCGAGCTGTGTTGCTGGGACCGTCATTAGGCTCTGGGAGGGTCCGGACGTGAGGGGTCCCGCAGCCACCTGGATGTCCCTGAGCCAACTCCCGGGGCCTGGCCCGCCGGGCGTGCTCCTGCCCATGACACCGGAGTCCTTGCCCCGTTCCACAGAATGGGAAACTGAGGTTCCGAGCCCAAGGTGTCGGAGCCGGTTCATAGCGGGGGAGCTGAGATGCTGCTGATGCCGCCACAGAGCTGCTGGGAGCAGGGACCCGGGAGGCTCGAAGCCTCAGGTGCGGAGTCCCCGAGCACACAGCAGCCCGGCCCCTCGCAGCGCCGAGACACCGCACGCCCGTGCTCGCCTTGCTCGCAGCGCCATCCCCCAGCAGAAATCTTAGTCCAGCACCGCAAGATCCGGATGCGGAGGCAGGGCCGGGAGGGAGCACGTGCCGGGGAGAGAAATCTGAAAGGGTGTTTTTCTTCCACTGTGCACACGCCCTTGTCTCAAGGAACTGACAGCGCCATGCCTGCACCCATTTCGCAGACGAGCACATCGAGGCTCAGAGGGATGAAGCCTCTCGTCGAAGGAGAGAGGCAAGACCCAGCCTGGGCTTCCGACTCCCGGCTGCCTTGCTCTGTGGCTGCAATCGCCAGGCAGGTGAAGAAGGGAAGTCGTCATTTCCGGAGCAAAATGCTGGTCACGGACCTACCCAAACGGCCAAATCCCCCGAAGAGGCTTTCCTGCCCGAGAGACTCGCCGTCTGGACCACGCCGCGCAGCCACGCCAGGGGCGATGGCTCCTCACAGGGACGCGCCAGGCACAGGGCCGGCAAGCCTGGCCACCGCGTGACCCCTCGCCACGCCGGCTCAGAGAGGGCGCGGGCGCCCCACGCCACGGAGCACGGCCAGAGGCGCGGGCGCCCGGCTCTGCGTGGGACGGGCGAGAGCCGGCCAGCCGGCACCACGGGGAGCGCCTCGGCAGGACTTGCTCTTCCGTCCCCACGGCCAGCCGAGGCCACCAGACTCATCCCCCAGCCCAGCCGCCCCAGCCCGCCGGCTCGCCCTCTCACCACGCGGCCGCCAATCAGTCCCGCGGAGCCGCCTCCAGCGCGGCCTGGCCCACTCCTCTCTCGGAGGCTCTCAGCCTGCCCGCACACGGGCCCAGGCCCCAGGCAGGACCACAGATGAGGTCGCCCGCCCGCGCCCGGGGTCGCCCAGGGTCGGGGAAGACCCTGGAGGTGCTCAGCGCCTGGCGCCGGCAGACACCACCGACCGCGAGCTCAACCTGTTGCCTCCCGTCAGACTGGGCCTCCCCGTCGGACTGGCCTCCCCGTCGGACTGGCCTCCCCGTCGGACTGGCCTCCCCGTCGGACTGGCCTCCCCGTCGGACTGGCCTCCCCGTGAGCCTGGGCTGTCCTGCTCCGCAGCCTGCACCCGTGGGGCGGGGCTGCCCGGGCAGTGGCCCTGGCCCCAGTCCGCCGTTGGGGAAACAGAGGCCCGGGCCGGGAGCTGCCCAGGGGCCACGGGCCGCGCCCCCGCCAGCTCCGGGCGGCTCTCTTCTTCCAGGCCAGGGTTCCCCCAGCCGTTCGGGCCAAGGTCGAGTCCCAGGCGGCAACACCCGGGCAGCCTCCCGTCTGCGAAGCCTCAGTTTCCTCAGCCGTAGGTGGGGACGGCGATTCCCGGTGGGCCAGCTCAGAGCAGCCGGGGACTCTGAGGAGAAAGGGCCGGCCACACCCCGTGCGTGGCCGGTCATCCCCGAGGCGGGGCGGCACCCCAAACACGCCACCCGCGTGCGCGTCCTGGACACCGGCAGCGCGGGGCGGGGTGGGGGGGAGCGTCTCGTCCCCGGGGCCTGGCTGGGCAGCCTGCCAGCAAGGACAGCCCCGGACGGTCCCTAAGGACAGCTGGGAGGGAACCGCCCGCGCCCGCGCCCAGGGGCCAGGCCTGGAGCCGGGGCCGCTGCCTCCTCCTCCCCGGGCCCTTCCCGCGCCCCCGTCACGGACCCACGTCCTCGGGCGCCGGCCTCTCCTGCCACCCGGGCCGCTCCTGAGCTCCACGCGCCGCCCCCACCGCGCTGCGCAGCTGTGCCGGGCTCCCCTGGGCCGGAGCCCCGTGCGGGGTCGCGCCCAACTCCCAGCCCGCGGCAGGGACAGCCAAGCCCAAGACGGGAAGGGGGGCGCAGGTGCCGGAGCAGCGCTTGCCTGAATAGCCTGCGTCGCCGTGTCCGTCTCGCAGGGTCCCCGGCGACGGGGCCGCCCCTGTGTGGCGAGGACGCTGGTGCCCGTCACCCTGGCTCTCGCGGCCGGTCCCAGGACGCGGGGGACGGCAGGCACGTCGTGGGGCAGTTGGGGGTTAAGGGGAACGACCGGCCCAAGCGCTCAGCACCGGGGGCCGCAGGGCTGGGCACGGGCGGCCTGAGGCCCTTGCTGGCCAGGCCAGGGCGAAGGGCAAAGGGCGGAGGGCGAAGGGCGAGGGCACCTGTGCCCACCGGAGGATGGCTCATCTTTAATTTCTCTCTGGAGATGCCGCCCACGCGAGGGGGCTGGGTGTCCCCTTGTCTTTAAAGTGGGCAAGGCGGCCCTGGCCATCACCCGCCCTGCTCTGAGGAGCCAAGGCCTGGCCTGCGGCAGCCGCGCTCGGCGGCGTGAGCTGGCGGAGGGAGGCGGCTGCACCTTCCACGAAAGCCACGTGCTGCCCCGGTGGTTTCCACCGTGGAACCCTCGGGAAGGGTCCTGGGGCCAGCCGCCCCCTGGACCCCCCAGGCAAGGCCAAGGGTGTGGGGGAAGCGTGCAGAGTCCCCGAAGGCTCAGACCAAGGCCCCCGGGGCACCAACCCAGGGGGCGGCTGGGCAGGCTGGGCCCTGGGCTGGGACATGGGGACGAGCAGCGAGCCTGCCCCACAGGCTGCAGAGAGCATTAAGCGAGATG